TGTCGACATTTTCGCAATGTTAAGTCTTCCTATCTATGAGTATGGTATATTCTTCCATTTCTGTAGGTCTCTGTTGATTTCTTCTAGTAGTATTTCATAGTGTTCGTTGTGTAGGTCTTTTGTTTCTCTAATTAGATATAGTCCAAAGTATTTAATCTTTTCGGTGGCGTTTGTAAGTGGTATTGCTTTTCTAATTTCTCTTTCAGAGCTCTCTTTATTAGTGTAAATAAATCCAACTGATTTTTTTTTTCTTTTAAAATATTGTCTTTTTATTGTTATTCTCTCTCTTTTTAGATTTCAGTTTTCATGTATGGTTTGTAATGTATTTCATGTCAACAGTTACTTATAGTGTTGTTGTTTCCAACTGATTTTTGTGCACTGACCTTGTACCTTACCACTTTGCTGAATCTTTCAATGATTTCCAACAATTTTCTTGCTGAGTCTTTGGGTTTTGCTAAGTACAGGGTCATGTTATCTGCGAAGAGTTTTACTTTCTTCTTTGCTAATTTAGATGTATTTATTTTTCCTTTCTGGCCTTATAGCTCTGGCTAAGACTTCCAGCATAATATTGAATCCATGTCGTTTTTTCATGTTGTTTGAAAAAGGCATTTATAATGAAGAAGTTATTAGTCTTACAAAATTCTATCCTGAGATCTCTAGCAATGTCTCTATCACCAAGGCCATACTTTCCAACAACTGATCCTTTGTCTTTGTTTCTAATCTTTGCATTCCAGTCACCAGTAATTATCAACACATCTTGATTGCATGGTTGATCAATTTCAGACTGAAGAACTTGGTTCATTTTAAGGGCCTTTGAGTCCATTCTAACTCATAGTGACCCTGTATTAGGTTCCTGAGGAGCAGCTGGTGGTTTTGAACTGCCAACTTATGGTTCACAGTCTAGTGCTGATGGCACTTGACAAGAACAAGATAAAAGGTGTTGCTGGCCACACTCTTGAAAAACTCCCTAACAGGAATCAGGGTTGTGATGGGTTTAAGGGTACAGCTGCTGCATGCCAGCGAGTTTGTTCCAACTTATTGTGACCCTACATATGGTTTCCAAGGCTGTAAAACTTTACAGAAGCAGAAAGCTTCTTCTTTCTCCCACAGAGCAGCTGGTGGATTCAAATTGCTGTCCTTGCAGTTAAACAACCCATTGGGTAGCCAGCCCATTACATGACCAGGGCTTCTTAAGGTATGGTTGTTGTTGTTGTTAAGTGCCGTAGAGTCGGTTCCGACCCATAGCGACCCTGTACAGGGTTTCCGATGGTGTAAATCTTTACAGGAGTAGAAAGCCTGGTAGCCCACCCTTAATCTTTGTTTTAGCATATCAGATCACATCATACAGTAGCATCACATAACTGCCACATTACATCATTACACTGAGAATCATAGCGCAGCGCAGTTGACACATATTCTGTGGAGGCTACAACTCAATCTATGACAAGTATTTATGATGTGATATCTTAACCACCCTCCAGGTAGAGTTAGCAAAATGGCCATTCAAAATACACCTGCCTTTGAACATACAGAAAGTTATAAAAATTCCACAGAGACTGGAGTAAAGGCAAGCATGGCCTAAATTAGGCTAACTACAAATATGGAGTAAAGTAATGCTGGATGGTAGTACTTTAATGGAGTCCTGGTGTAGTGCTGTGGGTAAATATGCTGGACCTCAAGGTCGGCTGTTCAAGCTAACCAGCTGCTCCTCAACGGCACTTAACAACAAAAATAGTATTTTAATGGGCTTCAGGAATAATAGCCCCAGTGCTTTTTAAAGAGGTCCCTGAGTAGCACAAATGGTTTGTATAAGATTATTAATCTAAAGGTTTTCATTTGAACTTAACCAGAGGCAAGAAAACCCTATGGAGCAGTTCTACTCTGTAACACAGGGGGTCATGAGTCAGAATCAACTCAACAATAAGGGAGTTGACTTTGCTTTTTAAAAGTAAATCACTGGAGGAAGGTAGAATTTCCAGAGTAGTATCCAATCTGTCTAGGCGGGGCTGATGAAAGGAAATGCAGATAGGTCTCTTGTGACACAATAGTGAATAATTGTTATCAGAACTGATTGTGAGGGTTGGGAATGTACATGTAGATATTTTATAGAAAGGAAGGGAGTGATTAACTTTGCAATCTAGGAGTGGAGGTCCCTGGGACCATCAAGGGAGAAGAGTGGAGAGCGGGACCCTATCCAGAGAAGCAGTGGCACCAGAGATGGAGGCAGAGAAGATGACTTGGAGAAATGGAGCAGCTGGGGACTCTAGACCCAGAGAGGGAGAGGGGCTGTGTGCTGATGATCAGGGGGGCAGGCTTGTAGGGTATACCCTTTGGTTGGTTGATGATGCATGGAGGGGATTGTAACCATGGCAATGAAATGATATACGATAGGATGAATGTAAAACTAATGTTCTCCCATGTAAACTATCACATAATTCACAAGAAAACATTTTTTAAAAAAGTAAATCACAAAAGCAAAATATAGCAGCTTCAGAAAATCCTCACTGCTGGGATATGTTCTCCTCCTTGCTCTATCACTTAACAGCTGTGTGACCTTGACAATACCAACCTCATAGGTTTCCTCAGTGGTAAGATAGTGCAAACAAAACAAATGGATTAACTTCATGTTGTTGTTAGCTGCTGATGGGTACAATGCAGCCAAACATTATCCAGCAATCAACTGGACGGCACCTAACAACAACAACATCCTGCATCATCCTCACAGTCACCGGCATGTTTGAGTCCATTGTTGCAGCCCCTGTACTAATCTTACCCTGGCTGATCTTCCAGCAATTGATCCCTCCTGATAACGTGTCCAAAACAAATGTGCACAGAAAATGTTATTTTATGATTCATAAGGTTTTTATTGCCTTACTTTCAGGAGGAAAGCAAACTCTATTAAACTTTAATAAACTTTATTGCAGTCTGTAAGCTCTGTTGAAACCTGTCCATCATGGATGACCCTGCTGGTATGTGAAATGCCAGTAGCATGTTTTCCAGAATCATAGCCATGTTCAAACCACCACAGCCCGACAAACTGGAGGTCTAACTCATAGTGACCCTATAGGATGTATGAGGCTATGAATCTTCACAGAAACTGACTGATTCACCTTTCTCCCTACAATCGGCTGATGGGTTCAAACCGTCATACTTTTAATTAGCAGATGAAACCTTAACCCACTACACCACAAGGATTCCTGGATAGATTTGTTAAAATTAAATGAGCTAATTCATGCATGGTGTTGGAGGAGATTATTCAAAGTACCATGGGCTGCCAAAAGAAGAAACAGATCCGTGTTAGAAGAAGTACAGCCAGAGTGCTCCTAGGAGACCAGGATGGCCAGACATTGTCTCTCATACTTTGGACACATTGTCAGGAGGGACTGACTGACCACTGGAGAAGGATATCATGTTTGGTAAGGTGGAAGGTCAGAGAAAAAGATGAAGACCCTCAACGAGATGGATTGGCCAAGTGGCAGCATCAGTGGGCTCAAGGGAGCAAAAATTGTGAGGTTGGCCCAGGACCAGGCAGTGTTTCATTCTATTGTGCATAGGGTTGCTATGAGTCAATACCAACTTGATGGCATCTAACAACAACAACCAGCTGCTCCGCGGGAGAAAGATGAGGCGTTCTGCTCCCGTAAAGATTAACAGCCTCGGAAACCCTGTGCAGGGTCGCTATGAGTCGGAACCGACTCCACGGCACATAACAACAACAACAATAATTCATATATAGTGCTTAATAGTTCGCTGCTATTGTTGTTGTTAAGTGCTTTCAAGTTGGTTCCGACTCATTGTTGTTGTTGTTGTTATGTGCCGTGGAGTCGGTTCCGACCCATAGCGACCCTGTATAGAGTTTCCAAGGAGCAGCTGGTGAGCTTGAACTGCCGACCTTGACGTTCAAACGGCTTTGCAGTCTGACACATTACCCCACAGCGCCACACCAGGACTCCAGTCATAGTGACCCTGTATATGATTTCCTTGTGTGGCACTGTGGGTTACTGAGCTGGATTGCAATGTCGGTTTGAACTGCAGGGTAGGCGGTTGGAGCTCACCAGCAGGTTCTCGGAAACACTCTTCAGGGTCGCTATGGGTAGCAACCCACTGGATGGCACTAAACAACAACATAGGGTTTCCAAGGAGCAGCTGGTGGGTTTGAATCGCTGAACTTGTGGTTAGCAGTCCAGTGCTCATCGAGTCGGAGTCGGTACCGCCCCATAGCGACCTTATGCACAGCAGAACGAAACACGAAACACTGCCCAATCCTGGGCCAACCTCACTACTGTACTGTGGTGGCTTGTGAGTTGCTGTGATTCTGAAAGTTATGCCGCTGGTATTTTAAATACCAGCAGGATCAACCATGGAGTCTTGGTGTGGTGCTGTGGGTTAATGCGCCAGACTGCAAAGCCGTTTGAATTGCAAGGTCGGTGGTTCAAGCTCACCAGCTGCTCCTCGGAAACACTCTCCAGGGTCGCTATGGGTCGGAACTGACAGGACGGCACTTAACAACAAGGGTCACCCATGGTGGACAGGTTTCAGATGAGCTTCCAGACGAAGACAGATTAGGAAGAAGGAGTGACAAACTACTTTCGAATATTAAGTCACTGAAAACCACATCATATAGTTATTGGTAAAATATTTGCAGCGCGAAAACAGAGCTCTTTGAGATCCTAAAAATCCTTCCGGTAGCGACTGCCCGGTAAGAACAGCTTCGCCCCTCCCTGTCGCTCAGCTTTGCCCCGCCCTTGCCACTCATCCCGCCCCTTTTCTCCAGTTCTGCGCCTGCTCCGCCCTCAGCAGGAGGGGAGGGGCTCCATAAGGAAGTGGTGTGGGGAGGAGCTGGAAATCTCGGGTGGGCGGGACGACGCTGGAAGTGTCAGGGTTCTGCTTTGCATACCAATACTTGGCTTTGCATAACCAGTGCGGCAAGCATTTAAAGGCGCCTCCACCGTCACAGCTACAAACCTTCTAGTTAATCTGGGCTAGACTCGTCGTTTACCATGATCCTCCTGATGCAGTCTTCGTTCCTGATGGCCCTGGGCTTGCTTCTTGTCGGCCCTGCGACCCCTGCAGTAGTCTTCCGGAACAAGGTGAGTGCCCCTTACTTTGGGGACAAGGCTTCCAGCGTTCCAGGTCCAGCTAGGGGTGTGTTGGGTCAGGTGAGATATGGGAATGGCCTCTTCGCTCTCTGGAACTCCCCAAGGCCTTTCAGAGTCAAGAGCTACGGGACTCTGAGCCCCTCTTTCTCTGCGGTTTTCAGTTTTCCCATCTTTCACTGAGGTTGTATCTTCTCTGCCATCTTTTCAAGCGCCTAAGTGAAATTGCCCCGGAGAAAGAAGAAGCTTTTGCTTCCATAAAGATTTACAGCCTCGGAAACCCTATGCAGGGTTGCTATGAGTCAGAACCGACTCGAAGGCACACAGAAACAGCAGCAGCAAGTGAAATTAAACTGAACTGAAAAACGATGACATTGTCTCCAAATCCAGAGACCCAGCCCAGCTACCCCGACTCCTTGATAAGGCCTAGCAACTGTCTTCTCTATTGGAATGAGTGCCCTGTGGCTGGTTGAGAGCCTGTCCAGACCTGCTTCGCTGGCGATAAAGATCCAGCCCTGTGAGCTCTTGCCTTGTGAGCTCCCAAGAGTGGCCCCTTCTCATTCACCCAACACTGCACACCTGGGAAAGAGAAGTTTTTTCATTCTCAGACCTAGAGACGTCCAGCACTATTCCTCTTTGCTCTCAGGCTTCCGGCAAGACACTTAAGAGGTGGCTTTAAAGTTTGTGGGAAAATTCCATTACCTTGTTTTTGTTTTTTTAATTGTGAATTGAATGAAGGTTTACAGAGCAGATCATAAGTTTTACATTTAACAATTCACATACATTGTTTCATTACAATAGTTGCAACCCCCTCCAATACCATCAGTTAACAGTATTCACCTCTGTCCACTTTAACTCTTGCACTCCTTCCAGTGTCTTATGCTACCATCATCTTTCCTCTGCCAACCTCTTTCTTATATATTGATTTCCCTGTCACTCATGTTAACATGTGTAGAATGAACACTGGACTGTGATCCACAAGGTTGGTGGTTGGAGCCCACCAATTGCTCTGAGGGAAAAAGATGATGCTTTCTGCTCCCAAGAATTACAGCCTCAGAAACCCCATAGAGGATTGCTTTGTGTAGAAAGCAAATCAATGGTGGTGCTTAGTAATAACCACAATCCTCTACCCAGTGAATACTTTTTCCTTTCCTCTCACCACTGGTAACCATCATAGAATGTTTCTTTTAACAAGAAATCCTTTTCTTAACTTTTTATAACAGTTGTTGTTGTTAGGTGCCTTCCAGCTGGTACCAACCCACAGTGACCCTATGCACAACAGAACAAAACACTGCCCGATCCTGGGCCAACCTCACAATTGTTGTTATGCTTGAGCCCATTGATGCTGCCACTTTTGCCAATCCATCTCGCTGGGGGTCTTCCTCTTTTTCTCTGACCCTCCACCTTATCAAACATGATATCTTTCTCCAGTGACTACTCCCTCCTGACAATATGTCCAGTGGTCTCATACAATATTTGTCCTTTTGTGACTGACTAATGTCACCTAAAGGAGCTCTGGTAGCGTAGTGGTTACGAATCGGGCTGCGAACCACAAGGTCAGCAATTTGAAACTACCAGCTGTTCTGCAGGAGAAAGATGAGGCTTTCTGTTCCCGTAAAGATTTACAGCCTCGGAAACCCTGTACAGGTTCGCTATGAGTC